CCTCCAAAGTTAGCTTTTCAAGACCTTGATTAGTGCACTATTTATTTCTTTTAATTATAGTCTCTCTTTTTGAGTTTTTTTTTAATCACACCAGTAGATTCTAGTATCTTTTTGTTTTTTTGGTGACTTGAATTAGAGGAGTTCTTACCGTTTGAATCATTCCCTTTTATCAACATTTTTTTAGTAGATAGCCCTCCCCCTCCCTCCCTCCCTCATGATTATAAAATCAATCATTCATCAATGATATAGTTGACAAATTATAAACTAAATTTTCACCCCTACATCTCAAACTATCTATGACAATTTTAAAAAATAATTATTTTAAATTATTTGTTATTTTAGAAGTTTAAGATAAAATTAATAATTTTTTCTTATTTTATTTAGCACTAGCTTCTCTTAAAGACTCTAAATATCTCAATAAAATAAATATTTAATTAAAAATATGTCTTAAGACATAAATAATAATAAGATAATCAACAGATAAATCCCCTCAAAAACATTTTTATTACAAAGTTTGCGATAAATTTCATGCTGACTTTATTTACAAAATGAATTTCTCTAATTAATAAAAAGAATTCATGATTTCATCCTCTTTTTGTTAGTTTATCCCAACGTCAACATACATTTTTAAATTTTCATTACTCAAACTGCACTCTTCATTCATCATACAATAGACTTTTGACTAAATAATTCAAAATATTTGTAGACTATTTTTATATGAATGTATACATGAACTTCCAATAAAAAATCACTTCTAATTCTCTTTTTAGAATATAGTATTGAGTGTTAAAAGAAAATTTCATATTTTAAAATGTGTACTTTTTACTATCAAATTTCTAGAATGTGTAGTATATATATTAGATGTTAAACCTTCTTTCGTTTCTTCGTGTGTTTACTTTCTCTTATTTTGAATCTGCTTAATATAAATTTTGGCTTTCCCACTATAATTGGCTCAAAAAAATTAGAGTCCTATTTCGGAATGATTTTTAATTGTTATCCCTCAAATGGCTGGTCTTTAATTTTTAGTCATTACGGTCAAGAGTACTTTAAATTATGACTTAATTTAGCAAGATGAATCATTTTAGGAAATATTTGTCCTGGGCTATAAGTTCAGTTTTATCTAATTTGCAAGGTAAATTCTTGCCCTTAATATTAAAAAAAATAAAATTTTGTAAGGCAATTTTTTTTTGCTAGGGATAGGTTATGCTCTTTAAAACATAATTTCGTTTTAGAATATTATACTTAAGCAATTAATAATTTATCACTTTATTTCTAATTTATTTTTTAACTCCTTTTAATACTATATAGTTATGTGTCATATATATCAATATCCAAATTAATAATAGAAAATTTAAAAAATATTTATACTTTCAAAAAATTTAATTTAAGGAGAAAATAAAAATATTAAATTAATTATATTTTAATTGTATTAATTGACGAGTAATTTGGAACATATACTTTTTTTTTTAGTAACAAGGAAGGATTACAACTTTTCTATTTGTGGCTTTAGTTTAAGAATTCATTTTACTCCCTCTCCTCACTTTTATTTTAGAAAAATGGATATATATTACTTTTAATATGTTAAGAAAATAACCTTTTAACTATTTTATTTTTAATACTGATTATTTATTTCTTAAAATTTAATATTAAATATGATCAATATAACAATGTAAAATAATTACATCTATTATTAAGTATCAAATTTAAATATGACAAATAAAAACAAACTAACGTATGAAAAATGTTTGCTTCACCATTCCCAAAGTAGTTCAAGTCTTGAAATTCTAATTAGTGCAACTATTTACAATATCACACCTTTTTCTCCATTTCATCCCTTTTTAGACTGTTGATTTAAATTTCATACAAATAATTTGTGATCCTCGTGACAATATTTTGTTATTAAAATATGTTTTCATTTATTTTAAATAAATATATTTGGATAGTTCTCCCCCAAATTAGGAAGAATTTTTTTATTTTATTCTTTCATAAACTTCAACTTCAAGTTAACTTTGCTTATGGAGCTGTCTTCATCAGCCAATTCCCTATTGTGTTGATAGTCTTTGAGTTTGATATTTTACATCATTATATTATCAATTTTTTAAATGTTTGATATTAATTAATTTGAATTTGACTAATATAAAATTCATTAAGGAAAAAACATTGTCTACTAATATATTTTTCATACATATAAAATTCAAATTATCTAATTAAGAATAATTAATTTTTTATTCACCTTATTTTATACATAGGAGCGGAGGCACATGCAAGTCAGGGTGTCTAATTGGACACCCTTCTTCGAAAAAAAATACCGTATATACAAATAAAATGATACAGTAAGTAATTAAATAACATCTTTTAGACACTCTTGACATAGTAGGTTATTGTAGCTAAGTGGTTTTAGACCATTCTAATGGATTTTAGACACCTTGAATGAGTTAGTGCTTGCTAATATCTCAAATCAAATATAAAATTAAGTCAATCTCAAATTTTATTTCAAAATTATTATACGCTAGTACTCACGTGTTCGAATCTCACTAGCATCCCCATCATTTTAGTAAAAAAAAATTACTTCAAAATTTATTAATATCTCAAATCAAATATAAAATTAAGTCAATCTCAAATTTTATTTCAAAATTATTATACGCTAGTACTCACGTGTTCGAATCTCACTAGCATCCCATCATTTTAGTAAAAAAAAAATTACTTCAAAATTTATTAATATCTCAAATCAAATATAAAATTAAGTCAATCTCAAATTTTATTTTGAAATTATTATGAGAAACTTCATACAGTTTTTAGCCAGTGAAAAATACACACAAAGATGACTTGATTCCTTAGCCTCATCCCACCCCAACCCACCCCC